GCTGCATTCTGTGGTCAGTGAGAGTTGGCACCTGAGTGAGACACTTACTCTCTCAAAACAGATGATGTCGACAATCTCAGAGGGAAGAATACAGAATTAAAACTCACACCAAGGTGTCTGCCTGCACCCAGCCCTCCACCCCACAGTGGGCAGGAGATGGTGCTAACGGGATAGTAAAGGCTCATGTCTCTTTAGTTCCCGGTCATCTTCCCTGGTGCTGAGCCTGGGGGATGGCAGGCACCACGGGCCTGGGGGATGGCAGGGACCATGTGTGGCTGGTGCTGCCCTAAAGGAGGAGAAGGCACATTTCTCTCTTGAACTTGAAACTAAGGTCACTTGACTCACTCGATTAAAACTGGTCTTGACTGCTCACTGCGTAGCCTCCCTGTTCCCAAGGTCCTCAGTCCTCTGCGGGCCAAACCGATATCCAAGCGTTACTAATCCTCTGGGAGGCCAGCAGTTGGAGCGATCGGTGACTCGAACGCTCCTGATAACTGGATTTTGGTCTCTGATCGCTGATAAGGTTTTTAATTTGGGCTTGGAGCAGGGCCCTCCGGGGATGAGTGCTGCAGTTGTTCTAAACCCGATTCAAGTAGATTTGGCCCAAACAGGTACAGAACCGCCAACCTTGGCTTCTTTTCATGCTGTAATTTGAGCAAAGGTTCTTAAGTTCTCGTCAGCCATGTGTCACCTGCGTCATTTTTACCATATCTGAGACCAGCCGAAATCTTATTTACCGCGGTTCTTTAAGTGCATTCATCATTATACTTAAGTCTGTTTTACTGCCGTAAGTGGAAATCGAGTATTACTTGCCCGTAATTAGAGGTCCTAAAACAGATGCAATGTAACAAGCGACCGAGTGTGCCTGCACGGGCTGCTTGCCGGCGCCGAGCCGGGGGCGGCCTCCTTCTCCTAACGAACAGTTCTCATGCTCGCGCCCAGGCGACCCCGCCCACCTTTGAAAACTTGTTCCCTTACAGTCTGTATGGGAACTAAGTGTCCGGTTGGCTGGCCTGGTGTGAGCACTCCTCTCTGAGGGGTAGTAAGGATACCGTGAGGAGGGAGATGACACGGTCCCCGGAGGGGGAGGGACGGAGCGCACTGATGAGAAGAGAAAGGCTTGGTGATGGTCTGGAAGCAGGAGTTCCACTTACTTATTTGTTTCTTTGTCTATAGCTCATCTCCCAGCTCCCTCCCCTTTGGCAACCATCAGCTTATTGTCTATATCTAGGGGTCTGTTTCTGTTTTGTTTATTCATTTGTTTTTTTAGATTCCACACATTAGTGAGATCATCTGCTATTTACCTTTCTCTCTGTGATGTATTTCACTTGGCATAATATCCCCTAGGCCCAATCCACGTTGTCACAAATGACAAGCTTTCATTCTTTTTTATGGCTGAGTAATATTCTGTTGTCTACCACACCGTCTTTACCCCTCATCTCCCATGGGCATCTAGGTTGCTTCTCTGTTGTGGCTGTTCCTAGAATGGTGCAGGGAGCATAGGAGTGTGTATATCTTTTCAAATTAGTGGGGGTTTTTTCTCCAGATAAATACCCAGAAGTGAAATTGGTGGACTATTTGGCAGTTTTATTTTTAAATTTTTGAGGGACGTCCATACCGTTTTCCACTGTGGCTGCACCCATTTACAATCCCACCAACAGTGCACCAGGGTTCCCGTCTCCGCCAGCCTCGCCAGCACGTGCTGTGGATTTGTTGATGACAGGTGTGAGGCCATATCTCTGGGGATCACTTTGCATTTCCCGGAGAAGTGAGGTTGGGCGTGTCTTCATGCCTGTTGCCCACCCGTAAGTCCTCTTGGCAGAGATGTCTCTGCAGGTTCTCTGCCGTGTTTTCATTGGATTGGGTTTGGGGTTTGTTTGGGGTTGTTTCACGAGTTCTTTACTTGCAGACTTTGGATATTAACCCCTTATTAGATGTATCATTTGTGAGATACCTTCTCCCATTCAGTGGTTGTCTTTTCCTTTTTCGATGTTCCTTTCACTGTACAGAAGCTTTTTACTTTAATATAGTCCTATTTGTATACTTTTCTTTTATAAATGTTTTTTTTTTATTTCAGAGAGGAAGGGAGAGGGAGAGAGAGAAACATCAATGATAAGAGAGAATCATTGATCAGCTGCCTCCTACACACCCCACACAGGGATCGAGCCTGCAACCCGGGCATGTGCCCTGACCGGGAATCGAACTATGATCTCCTGGTGCATAGGTCGACGCTCAACCACTGAGCCACGCCGGCCAGGCTGTTTACTCTCTCTTGTTTCCCTTACCCGAGGAGCATATCCAAAAAGGTATTGCTGAGAGTGATGTCAGAGTTCACTGTCTGTATTTTCTTCTAGTTTATGGTTTCAGGCCTAACACTTAACTGTTTAACCCAGCGGTTCTCAACCTGTGGGTCGTGACCCCTTTGGGGATCGAACGACCCTTTCACAGGGGTCACCTAAGACCATCAGAAAACATATATAATTACATATTGTTTTTGTGATTAATCACTATGCTTTAATTATGTTCAATTTGTAACAATGAAATTGGGGGTCACCACAACATGAGGAACTGTATTAAAGGGTCGCAGCATTAGGAAGGTTGAGAACAACTGGTTTAACCCATCTTGAGTTTATTTTTGTATATGGAGTAAGAATGTGGTAGTTTTATCTTGTGCTTGTATCTGTCCAGTTGTCCCAACACCACTTAGTGAAGAGACTGTCTTCACCCCATTGTATTTCCTGGCTGCCTTTGTAGGGTAATTGGTCCTATAAATGAGAAGTTATCTCTGGGCTGTTGTATCCCATGTTTTTGTGTCAGCACCATAGCGCCCTGAGTAGAGCAGCCTTGGGTGTAGTTTGCTATCAGGAAGCAGGGTACCACCCACTTGGTTCTTTCTCTGGTTTCTTTTGCTATTTGGGGTCTTTGTGATTCTCCATAAAGTTTAGGGTTAGTTCTAATTCTGAGAAGAATGCCCCTGGCATTTACCTGGGGGTTGCATGGAACCTGCCTGTTCCTTCAGGTGGTATGGACATTTAACAGTGTTAATCCTTCCAATCCATGAGCAAGGTGTAGCCTTCCATTTATTTGTATCTTGTTCAAATCCTTTCTTCAATGTCTTACAGTTTTCAGAGTACAGACCTTTCACTTTGTTTGAAAAAAGGCACTGTATTAGCTGCATTATCAAATAAGCCCCAAGATTTCAGTGGCTTAACACTAAAAGGTTATTTCTTATTCAGGACAACGTGGTTGAAGCTACAAGTTAGAAGCAGTTTCCTCCCCGTGAGGACTCAGGGGCCGTCTCTGGTTCTGTGGCTTTGACCTCCTCTAGGGGATCCTGTGTGTCCAGCTGGTGCGAGGGGGAAAGGGAACGGAGCAGCAAGAGATCTGAAAGCCGGCAAGTGCTTCATGCCAGGAGTGAGCTGCAGGAGAGAGGAAACGTGTGTGCGCTCTGCTCTCCCCTGGGCCTGACCCTCAGTGTTACACCTGCTTGGCACAGAGCAGGCCGCCCACAAATGCCTGCTTCAAAGAACACTAAGCCCACTCCCATCTCCTGGCTGGAGATACAACCCCGAGGACCACAGGTGGGGAATAGGTGGGCAAGGGAAGCAAGACTGGACAGGAGCTTGAAGGGAGTGACGGGCAGAGTGTACACACACACACACACACACACACACACACACACACACACACGTACAGGCACACATGCATGCACACATGCAACGGCTCAGAACAGAAGGTATGTGAAAGCAGTAGGTCTTTTGTCTGACCAAGGTTGTGACCTTAGAACAACCACAAAAATGCAAACCACCCCCCTGGCTGGTTGCTCAGTGGTTAGAGCATCAGCCTGCAGACCAGTCGTGGGTTCAATTCCTAGTCAAGGGCACATACCTCGGTTGCAGACTCAATACCCAGCCCCGGTTGGAGCATGTGCAGGAGGTAACCAGTCGATGCGTGTCTCTCACATCAATGTTTCTCTCCCCCGCTCCCTCCCCTCCACTCTAAAAAGTAAAAACTAAACATTCCCCTTCTTGTTCATAAACATCACACATTTAAGACCCTGTGCAATGAGTTGTTTCAGCAACACCCCCCCCACCCCCCGGGTTACGGGAAGGATAGCTTGTTTCTGGGGGAGAGGGGGCTCCTTTCTGAGGCCGCTTCGTGCTGCTTTAGGTTTTGCCGTTTCCTCGGCGCCTCAGCCAGGCCTGTGCCCGCGTGCTCCCTGCCGCTCAATGGGCCATTGTCCCTCTGGTATTAATTGGCCATCACGCTTTGCTGCCCGAGCGATAGCAGCGTCTCAGGTAGTATTTCTAAAGAATAGACAAGAGCAGCAGGTCCGCGGGCTGTACACCGAGCAGGAGTGGGAGTGGGGTGTGACCGGGCTGCTATTTCGGGTCTGAAAGCGACACTGCCTCCCGCGGACAGCGCTTCCCTGAGCGGCTCGCTCACACTTACAGGTTTCTCAGCCTGGCCTGTGCGAGGCTCCCTTTCCAGAAACATGAGCCACCATGTCTGTCTGGGCATTTCCCAGGCTGGTGAAGCGATACCAAACCTTCGGCTCAGTTATACCTGATAAATGTTTCTCAGCAGCCGGTGTGGTCTTCGCACTGAGGCTGATTTCTCAATATGGCTAAATAAGGACTCGGGCAGACCATGAACCCACACAGCAGGGAGGAGCCTGCTGCATGTACCGAGCCCCAGACCTCACCTCAGCTTTTTTTAACTGAACTGCTGACAACTGGGCTTTGTTTTAAACCAGACGTATCTGGTGAAGCACCAGCAGGAACCAGGAGTTTGTTCTCTAAACAAGGGAAGGAGCACCCACCATGTCCGACGTGCAAACCCTCCCGCCCGGGCCCTGCCTCCACCAGCCCACCCCGTGACCCACACACAGTGAAGCCATGCTTGTCTTCCAGGTCCAGTATTTCTTCAAGATCCTGGATAACTAGAGGCGGAGACAAAGGAGCCGCGGCGCGGAGACGAGGGACTCAGGCACGGAGGAGCACGTTCATTCTTTTATTGTCCACTGTTTGAACCTGACCGAGTACAAGATCAACAAGAGCACTGCAGTCCTGCGCTAGTACACACGGGGACATGGATTGGCTGCGGACAACACGGACACCGTCTATGGGCTACTGCGTTGCTTTTATAAAGTCCAAAATAAAGGTTTATTTTTCAAACAAGTGACTTTGGTTTATTTCATACATTACACTTCTTCTTGCAGAAAAAAAAAATAAAATTGTACAACTGCATAAATATAAAATTCTTCCACCATGACAATGGTTAACACATTCATGAAGACACAGCACCAGCACGTGATGCCTCAGAGAAAGGAAAGGAAAACGCTCAAAGCAAACACCTGGGCTGATCCCGGCCGGCGAGGGCGAGCCCGCTCTCCTCCGGCGTCAGAGCGCGGGGACAGGGCGAGGGCAGGCCAGCGTTCCCTACAGCACAACACACCCTCCCCGTCCGTGCCTCTCTGTAGTGCCATTAAAACTCAAAGGGCAGCCCCCCCTCCCCACGACAGCCCCCGCCCCGGGGAATAAGACCTGACACCACAGGAAAGACTATGGAGTGTGTGAAAACGCTCGCAGGTGGGTCTTTGAAAGAGCCAACCCCCCCGCCCCCAGAAGTACCATGCCAGTTTCATTCCCGTTGCATATTCACACCTTGGACAGCAAACTTGCTCACAGAAAGTAGAAAACAGATACGATAAAACATGGCTTGAAAATGACCGGCGTGCGCGCCCACGGGACGGGACGCGCACGAACTGAAATGCGCACGCAGCAATGCTCGGGGCAGGAACGCTGCTCACCAGGTCAGTATGGAATCATAATTTACAGTAAAAATGGGCACGTCCCAAGGCTCAATTTGTATTTTTTTCTTTTGTCATTTACAGTAGAATAAATATTTTGTTGCTATTGCTACACTTTAAATTTACATTCTAACCTATGAAATGCGGAAAGCTAGTGTAAAGCATAGAGATTAAGTGTAGGTCCCATACGTATGACAGTTTGTTCAAGACTAGTAGGTTTTTTGTATCTTTTTCTTAACTCTTTAAATGGCTAGTGGGAAAGATTTGTGCTTGTGATCAGCTCTTAACTTCAATCTTTACATCAAAGCGTCCCTGAAAGCGGTCTTTCTCACTGTACCCAATGTTCTCCCCGTACGCCCTACACTCGACGCGGACCTCCGTGTCCATGGTGAGGTTGGTGAACTGCACGGCCAGCAGGGGCTGCAGGTACTTGGGCTGCAGCAGCTTGCCGTAGTAGGGGTAGTACTGCAGCGGGAAGCCGGGGTAGTTGGCCAGGCCGAAGTACTCTATGTTCCCAACTTTATCCTTGTCCTCGTCCCGCTAGAAACCGAAAGGAAACGAGACGTTAAAGGCGCAGGCGCTGGACCGGCCCTCGGTCCCTCGGAAGCGAGCAGACGCTGACACGGGGACGAGGCCTTCCCCGACCGGCGGGAGCAGGTGACCTAGCGCCGGAGGACACTGGGCCGGGGTCTCACAGGGAGCAACGCGGACTGTCTGTAAAAGCCGCCTTGGGAAGCGGTCCCATCGGAGGCGACTGTCCCGCGCACGGGAACGGCGCCCACCAGTGCTTCTCCAGCGCAGGCCCGAGAGGCAGGGCGGCACGGAAGGGGGCGGCCCGTTCCCAGGGACATCACTCCTCACATGCCCTTCATCCCCGTGTGCCCATGTCCTCTCCTGCTGCAGGGACTGTGGGGACGGAGTCCCTTGCTTCTAAGCAAGCCCCCAGGCACCTGCTCTTAGGTCTACAGGGAACATGTGCTGAGTGTTACCCTGAATCTGTCAGTATTTTTAAAAGAAAAACCAAAGACAATTTTTTATGTGAAGTTACCAATAAAAAAAATGGGCTCAAACTTTTCACACCCCCAATTGGACCAGAGAAGCCCCTGTGGGCTAGTCCGCCTCTCAGCTCCACAAACAATATTCCTTCCACCTGATTAATCCAGATTTTCCGCTGCCTCGCCCAGGGGGGAAATGACATGCGGTTTCACTCCTGTGACATCTTTCTGTTCTTTTAAGAAGTTCTACTCCAAAGAGTTACAACTTGACTGACAGAGGCTGCTTCCGGGAAGCCATGTTTCTTACGTCCCATATTAAAATCTTACCTCTAATTCAAACTGCCTCCCTCAGTCTCTGTCTCGCCCCCCCTCACCCCGATCTGGTCCCCCTGCCCCACCCCCACCCCCGCCGCGCCCCCTCAGTAAGTCCCAGCCCTCACCTTGCCGGTGCACTGGACGGGCAGGACATAGGGGCTGTACTTCACCATTTGAAGACTCTCCATGGTCACATTCTTGGGAGGCTAAAGATAAAACCCACATTGGTCAGTCATTTTGTAAATAACTTTTTAAAATTTTCTGAAGCCCAAACAAGTACACCTGGGGGTGGCGGATGAATGAGTGCCAGGGATCTCAGAAAGGCCGCCACCCGATGACATCAAAGGCCTGCGCTTCCTGAGCACCGTCAGGCGGGGCCAGCCCAGCACAAAGTGGATCTTCCCCGGGACCACCAGGCGGCTACTCCAGGCTGGGAAACGGCCCCTTGCCCGCTAAGACAGAGGGACAGAGGTTGGCGTTTGTTTTTATGGAACTTGGGCTTTCTTCTCGAGCCGTGAGGAAATAATGCTCCCTCCCTCCCGCATGCCCTCCCCCTCCCTCCCCTCCAGTGGGGGCACTGCCCGGGGGCATTCCCGCTGTGAGGGACGCCCAGTCTGCACACAGGTGGGGGGCCCTGCCCTGAATGGCGGGGTCCAGGAGGGGTCCATCGTTGAAGGGACCCGCGCACACTTTGAAAACGACTCCTTCCCCAACACGATGCACACGCAGCCTCGCACGCGGTCGGACAGAAAGGGCAGCCCCTGTATCGTACGGCACTAATGCTCAGGCCTAGCCTCTGCGTGAGACCAGAAAGGAATGATCTAGATTGGACTCTGGGAACTCCCTGCCAGCAATCCCTGCAACGTTAAAAACAGGAAGGCCAAACTGGTGAACAGAAGGGCCGGGCTCCAGAAGCGAAGTGAGTGTTGGTCATGACTCAGTTGCACTGCAGTCGATCCCATCAGGACGAACACTGCACTCAGGGCCGCGGTGCCCACGCGGGCGCCCGTGCTTAAGGGGGAAGGGCAGCATTAGCTGTTCATGGAGATTAAGGCCCCTCGTTAAATAAAAGCAGAGGCACCTGCCATCCCTCGGGGACCTCAGGCGGCCCCGTCGGAGGCGCAAGCCAACAGCACGGGGATCAACTTCAACTCAGACCGTATTCAACTGTAGTTCTGCAAGGGAATCTTCGTTCAGGAAAATAAATTGTTCTTTCAGATTGCCGTTCATTTTTAAAAATACCCGGGCTCCAAGAGTACCAAAACCAGCGTACGGCTCTCTGCGCAGGTAGTGTGTAAATTTAAAAACATCCTTTCCTATGTCTACTCTGGAAGAGTTCACGCTATGAACGCCGTTCTCTGGGCTGAGTACAGGGTGGAGAACGACCACCCGCCGACCCGGGAGCCCGCCCCGCCCCTCGGAACCGCTGCAGAGAGCGAGAGCAAGAAGCTGCAGAGAGCGAGAGCAAGAAGCTGCGGAACTCACAGTGGGCGCGCAGGTTCTTATGCTGCTCTACCGGCTGCGCCTCAAAAACCCTGGCGGTGTCCTCTAACACCGCCTCAGCTCCCTGCGCACCCGTCCCTGCTCCGCGCCCCACGCGGCCCATCTGCGCTGGGAGGAGCGGGACTTGCCTTGGGTTTGAAGCCCAGGATGCGGTTGAGCTTTATGATGACACAGGGCTTGCCCTCCTTGTAGCCGAACGACTCGTCATTTATTCCGGAGCAGTTGCCCAGCCACTCGAGCTTGAACCTGCAGACCTTCCGCTCGCCGGGGTCACTGTCGTAGGCGCCTCGGTCTTTGTAGTCGCTGGGCACACCTGCAAATGCAAGCGCCTGGTCACCCTGTCCCCCACCACCCTCCCCGGCTCGGCGGCTGCTCTGCCCGGAACGCAGTGTCTGGGTGCAGCCAGGTTGCCAGCACACCGGTGCCGGCACAGAACCCCCACCAGGGCCCCGCGTGCTCGGTGACCAGCTCCTGACAGCTGGTCTCTGGCAATATTTCTCCGCCTTAAATAATGGATGACTCAGCTGTCGGGAGGCTGCAGGGAAACTGGATCGCCCGTCACAGCGCAGCCCGCGGAGGAGGGCGGCACGGTTAGAACCCAGGCGAGGAGGGTCCCATCACTGGCAGGACTGGGAGGCCTGGGTCAGGACTTCCTGGGGCTGTGCCTCTGATTCGCAGGTTGAACAGGAAAGAGGGAAAGGATTGGTGTGCTTCCTTTTCACATTCAAGGTTTTCTAAAAATGTTCTTTCGGATGTGAGTTCTTTGCCTTTCACAGCTGTGGGTTCTTATAAATTCATTCAAATGAGAAGTTTAGTTGGAGCATTTTTTATTATGCCTCATACCAAACCCAGAGTAAGAAGAAAAGAAACGAAGATTTCAAAGTCGATACAAAACATCCTGCAGAATACTGAGGCAAATGTAATTTCTATTGACTTTCAAGGTCACAAATGAACTGTTTTCCCTTCCAATGGTAACGTGACTCAGTTCACTCCATCAGGCCTTTTAAGTTACTGCAAAGTGAGATGAAAACCTTTAAGTTCTGAAGAGAAAGACGTGGTGAAACGTTCCTTTTAAACGAGGGAATCTTTCCTAAAGGACTTACTAGGGCTTTCACCCTCATCATGAGGAGGGGACCCCCTGCAGGCAGAGGCGGGCTGTGGTGCTGGGGTGGGAGGGGAGGACTGGCGTGGGGGCACCAGCCCAGAGGTGTGCTGTCTGGTGGGAAGCCCGGTGGAGTCACGGATGGTCCCACCAAAGGGCCACTCGGGAGGAAGGCCCGGTGCGCCTCCGAGGAGCGAGCCCGGGGGAGGGCGGGAATCTGGAAATATGGACAACTGCACTTCTCAGAAGCCATGGGCACCGGGGCCCGGGCGGACCTGTGGCTGTGGGTCTGAGCAGTCAAAAGCAGATCGTCTAGGTCTGTGGTCGGCAAACTGCGGCTCACGAGCCACATGGCGCTCTTTGGCCCCTTGAGTGTGGCTCTTCCACAAAATACCGACTTCTGCGCATGGGCCACGAAGTTTCAATCGCACTGTCTGTGCGCACCCGCACGTGGTATTTTGTGGTATTTTGTGGAAGAGACACACTCAAGGGGCCAAAGAGCCACATGTGGCTCGTGAGCCGCAGTTCGCCGACCATGGGTCTAGGTCTTTAAAGACATCTGTCAATGCAGCAGTAACACTCCAGGATACATTGTTTCTTCCACTGCACCCAAGCCTGAACCATAAAACACTCCCTGCTTTAGAAACACACAAAATGGCCCTGGCCTGGTTGCTCCATTGGCTGGAGCGTCATCCCGTACCCCAAAAGGTTGTGGGTTCGATTTCTGATCAGGTCACATGCCCAGGTGCGAGTTCAATCCCCAGTGGTTGGAGCAACCAATCAATGTTTCTCGCTCACATCCATGTCTCTCTCTACCCCCTTCCCCTCTCTCTCTCTGTAAGAAATCAATTTTTGAAAATGGCCTCTCAGTATGACCAGGGGACAATCTTTAATTATCCCAGGAGTGTCGTTCAATAGTAGAAATGGGGATGGAATGAACCCACCACAGCAGCCAGAGCGAGTGACTTACTGCCACAGTCTTCAAAAATCATGTCATCCTTCTGCGCGGAGTCCTTGTACTTCTCCAGGAAGCGGACAATGTTCAGCACGTACGGCTCGTAGCTCTCGGGCTTGGTGGGGTGGAAGGAGATCTCGGTCTTTTGGATCTGAGGAACCTGTGTGAGTCCTGCACCAGGCAGAGGCACAAACAGAGTCGATCACCAGCGAGAAGCAAGTCAACCGAGAGAATCCAACAGCAGACGCTCCGCGAACAAACACGGCTCAGCCCACCGGCCTAAAGGCGACGGGTCCGATTCTCCACGCGTGAAACCCCTTGGCATCAGAGTAACGTCACAGTTCATGACAGGCGTTAACTCCACGTGATGCATGAAAGCACTTCTTGCACAGAGAGGTTAAGCACCTGGCCCAAGGTCACAGAGGAAGCGGCGGGACCACAATTCCCACCCAACCACGCCGCATCCAAAGCCTGTCGCCTGCCCAGTGGTCCCTCGTGCGCACGTGCCACACCTGCTCGGTCTGCGCAGGTGCCCTCCTGCCTCACTGCTGGCCTGGAGCAACAGGCCTCCCCCTGTCAGTGAGGTCAGGCCACTCCAAGCCTACAAGACTCAAGACTCCCCCACAGACATTCCTCCGGCTCTTACCCTGAACTGGAGGGTCAGGATGGATGCGAGGGACCTGCTTTCCATTCTGAAGTAAATAGTTATTCTGAGCAGGCGCACTGCCAGCCAGGGTAAAGGTCTCAGCACGCACACCCTGGGCTCCACGCTTCACCCGGGTCTTAGACTCTATAATTTCCCGAAGATTCTGCCATCACAGACTCCTAGACAGATGTGTGCACAGCAGTGCACAGCCCTCCCAGGGGCGACGGGGGGTGCCCATCACAGTGGAATTCTGTCCCAGGTGCAGGTGAATGCAAGATGCCTGGCCACACCAGAAATCCAGATAACCCACAAGGAACTTTTATATAAGCACGGCCCACATGCTACATGGACACGCACGACAGGGGACATGTACTGCATATATTATCTGGGACACTCACCTAAAAGATCACCTGTAACTGATCTTTAGCTCAAATGTAGTTGCACCTCCCATATTTTTATTTGCTCATCCGGCAACCCTACTCTAGTCCCCAGTCCCAGAGCTGCCCTCTGTGCCAGGCGGACAGCGCACGGCCACCTTCCTCAGGGCACCACGCAGATATGAACACAGTGACGTGACTGAAGCAGAAGTGACCACGGGGTGCGGCTATTTTTCTAGCCCTTGAGGATGGCGTTGAGCTTCGAGGTGGGGCTGAGGAGGCCCGGCGTGGGGCTGGCTGGGCCACGCTTCCCCCACGCGCAGCTCCCCAGGGGGGAGGCAGGGTGGCTGAGACAGACTCCTCCAGGAGTGACATCAGGAATCTTTAAAAGGCTGATGCAGAACCTGAAGAACCGGGGACGAGGCTGTCAACGGGAGGGAGGGAGTCCAGGGGAAGTCACAGAGCTCGCTCATAAAAACAAAATGTTTTCAGTCTTTGCTTAAAAATAAAGGAAGGTTACTACAACTGAGATGATTTTTAGGCCCTGGCCAGTGGCTCAGTTGGTTAGAACCGTGGTCAGCAAACTGCGGCTCGCGAGCCACATGCGGCTCTTTGGCCCCTTGAGTGTGGCTCTTCCTAAGCCTTAGGAGTATCCTAATTAAGTTAATAACAATGTACCTACCTACATAGTTTAAGTTTAAAAAATTTGGCTCTCAAAAGAAATTTCAATCGTTGTACTGTTGATATTTGGCTGTTGACTAATGAGTTTGCCGACCACTGGGTTAGAGTATTTATCCAATTCACCAAGCTTGCGGTTTGATCTCCGGTCAGAGCACATGCAAGAATCAACCAGGCAGCCAGGCTGGCAAGGCTCAGTGGTTGAGCATCAACCTAGGAACCAGGAGGTTACAGTCTGATTCCTGGTCAGGGCACATGCCTGGATTGCGAGCTCAATCCCCAGTTGGGGGCATGCAGGAGGCAGCTGATTCACGATTCTCTCTCATCATTGATGTTTCTATCTTGTTCTTCCTCTCCCTTCCTCTCTGAAATCAATATAAAATATATTTTTTAAAAAAAGACTCAATGGTGGAACAACAATTTGATGTTTCTCTCTCCCTCTAAGATCAATAAATAAAATAATCTACATTTTTTATAATGCTCCGAAACCATAGAAAATTATATGCCCAAAGGAATTTAAATGTCCCCTGGACAATCTTTCTACAATAAATTAGGAAAACTGGCTGTGGGATTGGTCTAAAGGCACCTGGGTACCATCGACAGCTACCCACAAAGATGAAGAGGGAAAGGAGCCCAGGTGAGGAGGGGCTCTCCTTCCTCAGGTTCTGGCGGTCTCCCTGCCACCGCCTCTCCGCCCTCGCCGGGAGCTCCCCCCCCCCCCCCCCCGCCCGGGAGCTGCCACCCCCCCGCCCCCCCCCGCCCTCGCCTGGAGCTGCCACCCCCCCCCGCCCTCGCCTGGAGCTGCCACCCCCCCCGCCCTCCCCTGGGGCTGCCACCCCCTCTCTGCCCTCACCTGGAGCTCCCACACCCCCTCTCTGCCCTCGCTTGGGGCTGCCACACACACCCCCCGCCCTCGCTTGGGGCTGCCACCCCCTCTCTGCCCTCGTCCAGGGCCTGCGGTGGAGGGTCGCTCTCGAAGCCACCAGGGTCCACCCTGCCCACCTGGACAGCCTTAGCTTGGAGACTCAGGCCTCCGAGCGCTGGTAACGAATTCCCCTCCTCACAGTGACTTCTCTAAAGCAATGACACACCCAGGAGGCGAGGAGGCCCCGGACCAATATCTACATCCTTTCAGTGACCTTGATGTTCTCAGACGAATGGGGAGAAAGACAAAGGAAGGGCAGGGCTGGGCAGCCCATGCACGTTGGGCCCACAGTGGGACGCAAGTCCCTGGCCGGGCCCTGTCCTGTCCGAGCGCTGGCCGCCCGGGTTCTCTGACCTGGTGTCCCCCCCCTATTGCGCAGGGCAGCAGGGCCCTCGGCGCTGCCCACTCCTGATGTCTAGTCCCATGTGCAAAGGGACACGCTGTCTGCGGTGGTCCCTCCAGACGACAGCAGGACACCCACCCCTGGCTTGTGTTTTCAGGTTATCAACCAGGAAACAGCTGACCTGCGGCCCCTCCGTCTCCAAACTGGAGTTAACCGTGCTGACCTGTGCATGCTATGCAAACGTGACCCTTTGCCTTAAAGTACGTCTCGATTATAACTGAAT